GTAGGGCTCGTATGTTCGAAGAGTAGACTGTGCACGAAGATCAACTGTGAGCGTCAAGAGATCCAAAAGTAAGCGGCCGAGGTAGGAATCTGCGCAGAGGCACAGCGCTGTGTATTAGTGAATATCAAGCGAAGCGCGTACATCAATGAGTTCGGGAGACCTGCACCGCTAAAGGCAGAATGGTCGCTACCAATGCGCAAACAACTAGAGCCAGGAGCAAGGCGAATGGTTGCGACCACAGCGGGGGCCCAAGAGGAGCCGTCCGGGCATAACAGTGGCCACCAAAAGGCGCTAGGCCAATGCGGGATTACAAGGGTAAGCCAGGTGCGCGAGCGGCGGGCGTGAGCGAGGACAGCGGGGATCAGGGGTGGGGGAGGAAAGGCGTAGCAGTTGTCGCCCGACCAGCTAAGAGAAAACGCATCCTGCGCGACTACCGCGTTGGAGAGCTCGAGCGAGCAAAAACGAGCCAGTTGCGCATTGGCCGGGGAAGCGAACAAGTCAATAGTATGAGGACCCCAACGCCTCTCTAGCAGAAGGAACCAAGGTCGTGCGAGAGAGTAATCGTCGAGAAGATCCAACTTGGAGAGCGCGTCGGCTTCTGTATTAAGGGTGCGTGGGATCCACTGGACTGTGAGCCAAATTTGGTGGCGCACGCAAAGGTGGATAATAGCTCAGCATATCAGAGTCAACTCAAGCCGGCGGGAACCCCCTTTTTTCATAATGTAATAGGCCGCTTGGCTGTCACTACGGAGCAGGACGTGCGAGCGTCGGACATTGTCAAGAAAGGTTGACAGTGCCCAAAGGATGCCAGCAAGTTCGCGGAGCGTGCTGGATGAAGAGACGAGGGCCCAAGGGAGTGGTGAAGCATGCGAACCGGCGTCGCCGTCCGGCGCTGAAAAACACGCGCCCCATGCGCGATCACTGGCATCCACATACATCACGACGTCGTAGAGATGAGGATTGTGGAAGCGCGAGCCATTGAAGACATCGAACTGGGTGAGCCAGAAACGCAACTCGTCGAGAGAATTGGGTGTCAAGAGAATTGACACCCCCCCAGAGTGACACTCAGAGATCTGAGAAAGAAGATTGTGGGAGAAGGCACGCGCGACCGTGCCAAGTGCGAGCGCCATGGAGGCTAGCAAGCCAGTGATGCGAGTGGCCCGACGGACTGGGATAGGCCGCCGTTGCATGCTAAGTGCACATGTCTGCTCAAGTTCGGCGAAGAGTCGCTCGCGTCTGCCGTCATCGATGGAGAAAGACGTGGTGCGAGTGTCCAACAGGAGGCCCAAAAACTGTAGGCACTGGATTGGTTCGAGCTACGACTTCTTGAAGTTGACAGCGAAGCCAGCTGACTGAAGATCCGCTAAAATGACGGCACGGTGGCAAAGGGCCTCGGCTCGGGTAGCGCTGATGAACAAAATGTCATCGACGTATGGGATAAGTCGGATGCCGCGTCCGCGCGAACGTTTTGCGAACGGCTTGATCAGCTGAGTAAAAACGAACGGCGCAGTAGCTAGACCAAAAGGCAATGATAGAAACTGGTAGCGTTGCCCTTGGAGTGTAAAACCAAGGAAGCGCCAATACAAGGGATGGATATCCGCATGGTGGTAGCCGGATTTTAGATCGATGGTGAATAGCCAATCGTCTTGCTGCACCAAGTCGGGCACCCGATTCAAGCCCTCGTAGCGAAAACGGGGGACGGAAAGAAATGAATTCACGTGGCGGAGGTCCAATATGAGCCTCTTTTTGGAAGGTTGGACGACTACGTTAAGCGGGCTGATGCATGTGAGTGGCTCCGATGGAGGAACGAGCCGGGCCGCTCCCGTAGCGAGGAGCTCGTCCACCGCCTCCACCGCGAATGTGTGGAATTGGAGTGCCCCGGCATGGTTTGAGGCATGCCGCACTGTAGGCTGTGAAGAAGCCCAGGGAAGGCGATAGCCTGACGCAATGACCGATAGCATGAAGCGGCTATCGCACCAACTGGACCACCATGCAAAGCAGGCACGCATGCGTCCTCGCATACGGATTGTATCACCCGATGTGGCAACATGTACGGCGAAGGAGCCAAGCTGTGGTGAGGGGCGGTGACGAACAAGTACAATAAAAAAGCCGCAAGGGCCAGATGTAAATTATCGTTCTTGACTGTACAAAATACGTTTGCCGAAGCATGCGTAGCGTGAGAAGTGTGCTCGAAATAGTCGAAGCGAAAGCAAGAATGAAGGCAACACTTTTCGCAGTGTGCGCACCAGCAATGTTACAATCTTTGTCATGCTTTCATCGGTCGGAGGTGCGTGTTCCAATGTTCCACGTGCGTTTTGTACCTTTTGGACTGCCTTTCTTTTCCGGCACTTCTGCCGTTCTCATGCTTCCCCCTACTCCCTTTTTTGGGGTTGTTGTTGTTTTTTTCTTTTTTTCTTTCTTTTTTTGCACGCAAATATTGAATAGCATATTGCCGTGCTATATTCGAAGTGGATTTGAGCCGCATGCTCGATCACCAATTGGCACAACATCAATCTTTAACATGAAATAATATATTAATAGCATCAAGGTTTTACAAAGAATCGGCCATCAAAGCCTCTAGACAATCTTAGCCGGCCGGTTGGCCCCTTGGCCTCGGCGAGGACAATCTTTAAACCCATGACCGGGTTCGCGACAATAAAAGCATCGACCGTCGCCATCCCGACGCCACGTATTCCAAGTGCGTGCGTCTTCACCCCTACTACGAGGGGGGGGATCGGTGCGGGATGTCGAGGTGGTGGGTCTAGTAGGTCTCTTTTTGCTGGCCGCCACAATTTGTGTGGCGGCCTTAACGTTTTTATCTTCCACCACCTCCCCATATTTAATCTTTAGGGCCATATTGGTCACTTCAAAACCGCGTTGATCTGCGGTGAATAAGAAATGAATCTTTTCCTCCGCCTCCTCGACTATCTGCTGGAGATAGTCGGCAGCTAACTCGCCACCACTAGGGGGCAAAGCGGAGAGCGTGTGCCGAGCAATAGCCTGGATACGCTCGAAACTAAAAAGTTGGGTTCGAATGCCGTCACTTTTTACCAAAGAAGAACGCAACTGAGGACGTGCAGGAGGGATAGGAGCAAGATTCGGGGCGGTAGAACCGGACTTGAGACGAGCGGCGTTACCTTCGTCGAGGGTTTCCATGGGCGCGTCGTCGTCCGCGCCATCGCCCTCGGGTTCGGCCGCGACGGGAGGAGGGCGGGAGCGTGGCACTGCTGCTGGCGTAGGTAGAGCAGGTGCAGGGGGTGGTGCTGGATCACCGGTTTGTCCGCGCTGAAGGGCCGCGAGAAGACCGATGACGTGATGAATTGCGTCATTATTAGCGTTGTCGTTGTTGTTGTAACGAGCAGGAATGTGTTCTGCAGATCGGGGCGCTGTAGAAGTAGAGGAGCACGCTGTAACGCGTTCACCAATTGCAGCACCCGTGAAGATTCGCTGGAAATTTCGCTGGGTGGCGGGGTCCAGACGCGCCATCATTTCGGCGAAATTTGCAGATCCATTGGCGATGATGACAGGATCCTGCTGCGCGCGCTGATTCGTCGGGCGAGATTCCAAATCAGCGTGGACGTCCAGATTCTGGCGATCGCCACGATCCTGGCGCTCCTGGCGATTTGCGCGCTGGTCAAGATTCTGACGACCCAGGTCCTGACGCGTCTGGTCACGCTCAGGATTCTGCTCATCATTTCGACCTGCGCGCCTTGGATCGCGATGATCATTGCGATCCTCTTGCGCAGGCTCGTCATGATTGCAGCCGAGGGGTGCCGCGCGCAACTGTTCGACGGGTGTCGGGGCGTTTTCTCCTGGCGGGTTCAAGTCGACACGTTCACGTTCTTCACGCCGCTCGCCGCGAAACCCGGGGGGAAAATCGCGACCGTCAGAAGCGTTACGATCTCCGACGGGAGCCAATCCGGGTTGCTGAACGGGGTTTCGCCGAGCGCCATTCAGCAGATCCAAGGCAGTAATAGCTGCGTTTCTGTTGCGTGGAGAGTGGGAACGATCACGGTGAGTAGAAGAATCTTGACTTCCCTCACGCACAGGGGATCCACGTCGTCCATTGCTCCTTAAATTCATTCTTGAAACAGGAGGACGACCAGTTGCAGCAGAAACTATTCCTCCAGTCATGGTAGAAAAACGTGCAGCAATCACGTCCGCAAGTAGCGTGCTCCTATGCCCAGGTCTGGGCATAGGAGGGGTTTAGAGTGTGCTGATGGTAGTAAGCCATCAGAGAAGAGAAATGAGAATGAGACTAGGTGGCAGGTCCATCGGACCTGCGAGAATGTGAAGGAGCTTGTCTCCTTTACAGCAAAACTCCTCTTCAAATCGAATCACAATCTGTAAATTTTTTATTCCTAAAAAATTATTCATATTTTGTTGAAGTCCTTGGAAACCAGTCACACCCCCTCTCGTAACCCCCGCAACCTTGGAGAGTTCGTGCAAATCCTTAGCAACCAGAAACACCCCTCACACCTCCCCCCCACCCAGAGAGCCGGACAGGGCTCACGATAGACGGGTAATAATCCGGAATTTCGATGAAATTCCAGATTTTTCCAGCGAAACCCGTGCCGGAATAAAATCCGGATTGGTTAAACGGGCCTGAAATTTGCCCGTTTGAAAGCCTATTCTATCCTTTCGACGACCTCCACGTCCGTGGGACCTTATAAATGCATAAACTGAGGCATCAATATTCAATTCGGGAAGAATCAGGATTTAAAAAAACCCAATCGTGAGGCCTGGAGCCGAAGTCTCGACTCTACTGTAGCTAGTCACGCTAGTCCTTTGCCCTGGGGTGGGGGCGCCACGCTGGCGCGCAAGCAACTTGGCTTTCCTGAGGTGGTTGGCGCGCAAACACCTCAAAATTTTATATCGCACCACATCACTGGCAATTCAAGTGCTTCAGGCAGTGTTCTTGCCTCGGGAAAACATCTGGGCGGCACATTGGGGCATTTTGTATACAGTCGATGTAAAAAAATATGGAGTTTTAGACCATCTCAGCCGTACCGGTATACGAGACGCCCCGAAGTCCTGCCTGGAAGTTTTCCTCGAGGCAAGAACACGCCCTTAGGCAAGCGTGAAATCTGTTAAAGTCCACGCTAATCCTAAAAGACCTTTCAGAATTTGCATCAGACTTTAATTCTCGACTAATTCTGAATTATCAGCGTAAAATTTTTAGGTAACGCTGCAATTTTCAGCCTTTCTTCCAAGGGCAAGTCTGCAAAATCAGCCTTAATGCAGGAGGCAGGGATGATGAATCAGCGTGTCCCAAAACGAATCTTAGGGCCTGCTCATAAGTCACCTATCGTACAGGGGGGTGTCCAGCCAGAACGTCACACTCCTGACCGAAGCAGCAGTGCAATGATGAGGTGCGGTGCCTTCACATGGCTCGATGGCAGCAGGGCGAGGGGGGGCGACTCTAGCTGGCGAGGCGGCAGCAAGAGGAGGAGGCGCCCCGAGTGAGCTTGATGGCAGCGGGGCTTTCCTTGTCCACGGCGCCCGACAGCACCACCTGCAGCTGCTGCTGCTGCTGCGATGCCTTGTCGCACTCACATGAAAAGAGCACAGGGGCAGCAGTAGAGGTGCCCGCACAGGGGCTGGTGGGAAGGGGTATTGGAGGGTAGAGGGTGAGGGGATGCCTGTGATGCCTTGTCGCACTCATAGGAGAAGAGCACGGGGGCAGGAGGAGTGGCGCCCGCACTGGGGCTGGTGGGGGGAGCAGAGGGACGGGGAGGAGGGCAGGGAATGGGAGAAAAAAGGGAGATGTCAGAAGGGGAATGCAGGATGCATCCATCAGACAGCACCACCTGCAGCTGCTGTTTCTGCTGCGATGCCTTGACGCACTCAGAGGAGAAGACGACATGGGCAGGAGTAGTTGGGCCAGTATACGGGCTGGTGGGGGGAGCAGAGGGACGGGGAAGGCGGGTAGATGGGCGGAGGGAAGAGGAACAAAGGGAAATTGTTGTCTTCAAACGAAGAGGTGAATGTGGAATGCACGAAACGAAGGAGGCAGAAAGGAACGTTGCACCTTGCACTCAAGAAGGCACAAGGTAAGTAGGTGAAAAGAGGAATGGGGAGAGAGCAGTGCCAGCAAAGGGGGAGATAAAGCATGGAGTGGAAAGAGCAAATAGAAATGGGGGAGCGAGACAAATGAAAGATCCGTACCGCCATGCCGCGTTTGCTGTCAGCTGGGGAGCCCACTGGAACTTCTTACGAGCAGGGGCCTTCAGCCTCACAGTAACCGCCCCGCCACACCCCCCTCCACCGTCCTTGCCAATTCCATCCCCAAAGTGCACCCTCACACGCGTCGGCTGCCACTTTGCCTTCCCCTTGCGCCCCACGATCTGCACCTGATACACCTCCCCTACCAGCGCCGTGAACCCAAACAGCCGCTCCGCCGTGCCATCCTCCTCCACCTCAATGTGGTCCAGGTCGCCGTCGAACGTCTGCTGCCTGCCGTCCCTCACACGCACCACTTTAATAAAGCTCATAGCGCCGTGCTTCTGCCCCGCGCGCTCGTTGGCGGCGGTGGCGGGCTCGTAGTACCGGACGTTGACGGTGCGGAAGCAGTGTGCGGGTGCGGGGCATGCGAACGCGTTGGTGCCTGGGATGGGCTTGCAGGAGCCGTAGGAGCCGGAGGGGGTGCGGGGAGGGAGGAGGTTGGGGTTGTTGGCCACGAGAAAGGCGGTGGGGGGAGTGGCGGGATCCTCTGAGGCCGCTGTGGCGGTTGAGTTGAGTCCGGAGCTCGTGAGGGGAGTGGCGGCAGTCAGAAAGCGCGTGGCGAGAGGGGAGGAGGAGGAGGAGGAGGAGGAGGAGGAGGAGGAGGAGGAGGAGGAGGAGGAGGAGGAGGAGGAGCGGACAGGAGAGCAGGAGGTAGAGGCGGGGTTGCCAAAGGACGAGCGGGAGTGCCAGGGTGAGCGATGCCTGGGGTGGTACTTGCCATTCCTGTGACTGCGGCTGTGGCTTCCACCAGTTGCTCTAAAAGCTGACGATTCAGCAGCGGCCGCAGGGGCTGCAGCAGCAGCACGGCCATTTGCACCATCGTCAGCATCGTCAGCATCGTCAGCATTGCCAGCAGTGGCAGCAGCAGCAGTGCGAGCTGCGAGGTGGCGGCGGTGTGAAGACGCAGCGGTATGCATGGCTTCCCGTGTGAGGGCACGCTTGCCCAGGGAGGCAGAGACAGAGGCGGGCCTTGCAGAGGCAGCAGTCACCCTAGCGGGGTTGGCAAGGAGTACGCCAACAATGCTGCCATCGCCATCCCTCACTGCCGCCTGAGTGGCCGCCTCCCCGTGGTCCTCCGCCTCTGATTGGTCGTACTGCAAAGGGCATGGCAGAAGAGAAACGGGGAGGGGTTTGAGTGATTGCATGTTGTGTCTTGAGACGTCTCTAAACACGCCTGAGTGGCTGCCTCCCTCTGGTCCTCGCCTCTGACAGGTTGTACTGCAGGGGAGCATGCACGGGCAAAGGGGAGGGGCATGAAGGGCTGACTTTTGGAATTTGAGACGCCTCACAACAAGGGGGCCTCAAATTGGGAAAGGGGTTAGAAGGATGAGTTGCACCAGTGGAGAGCAGAAAACGTCAAGATTGAGGGAGAGGGAGCTGGGATTCGCATATCCTATGCCACTGTCGAAGTCCCTCGCCTGCATGCGTGCATAGCTACATGGCTACATGGCTGCATGGCTGCATGGCTGCATGCCTGCATGGTTGTCTGGCACACATGGTTGGATAACAAACCCAGGCTGTTGGCGCTCTGCATGGCTGTTGGCGCTCTGCACGGCTGTTGGCACTCTGCACGGCTGTTGGTGCATGTTGAGGCGCGTATGAAGCAGCTGGCGACTCACCCTGGATGGGAAGCAGCTGGCGACTCACCCTGGATGGGAAGCGGCGAGGCATCATGAAGAACGGGTTGGCGCGCTCCTGGCTGCTGAACTCCAGGTTCTGGCGGACGGGACAAGGAAGGGAGGGAGGGAGGGGGTGGGACGGAGGGGAATGGGGTAGAGAGGACTTGAGCTTGCATATATTTCTGCTGCAAGAGAGGCTGTGGCGTAGCAAGTAGAGGCATGGGTGAGAGCACAGAAGGCATGGGTGAGAGCACAGAAGGCATGGGTGAGAGCACAGAGGGCATGGGTGAGAGCACAGAAGGCATGGGATGGCGGCAGGTTGAAGGAAGGAGGGCGAGAGGCACCTCAAAGCTGAAGCCGGCATTCCAGTTCGTGCTGACGCCGTACAGAGACGGTTCGAAACAAGCAGCTATGACTTGGCGGAGGGGTGGAGGCACACCTTGAAGCTGTTGCCGGCATTCCAGTAGGTGCCCTCGTCCCCGCCCACAGCCACCGCAGCAGAGGCCGTGCACGCATTGTCAAAAGCAGCGAACCTGCAAGGGGGAGAAGAGAACGGAAGGGAGCGGATGAGAAAGCATTCGAGTCATGGTGTGCAATGACGTGCTATGCCATGGCATGCCGCGTGAACCATGGTACGCCTTGTTGTCTCCTATGTGCCGACTCACCGAGGCAGCGCCACCCACAATGTTGCTGGCTAACCCGTCACTGAACCGTAAACACCGGCCCATACAGCGGCGTCTGGAGCACCTCATTGAAGCCGTCCCATGGTAGTGTGCTACAACCCACTCATGCACTCGCCTGGCGCCGTCTACAGCGTTGTTGGCGACCCCATCAGTGAACCACAGGCTCTGAGTCCACACCAGCCCGCCTTTCAGATCCCCAGATTCCCCCATGTGCCCTCACACTGTGCCCTCACACTGTGCCCTCACACTGTGCCCTCACACTGTGCCCTCACACTGTGCCCTCACACTGTGCCCTCACACTGTGCCCTCACACTGTGCCCTCACACTGTGCCCTCACACTGTGCCTCACACTGTCCCTCACACTGTGCCCTCACACTGTGCCCTCACACTGTGCCCTCACACTGTGCCCTCACACTGTGCCCTCACACTGTGCCCTCACACTGTGCCCTCACACTGTGCCCTCACACTGTGCCCTCACACTGTGCCCTCACACTGTGCCCTCACACTGTGCCCTCACACTGTGCCCTCACACTGTGCCCTCACACTGTGCCCTCACACTGTGCCCTCACACTGTGCCCTCACACTGTGCCCTCACACTGTGCCCTCACACTGTGCCCTCACACTGTGCCCTCACCATAAACAATAAATCGCATCGCACGATTAACAAAAAAAAAAAAATCCCCATCGCAAAAACGCGATTAAACGCGATGCGATGCGATGGGATTGTTTTTAACCATGTCTACCTCACACACACCGACTCACCTACCATCATCAACGACGTAGTTGGCGACCCCCTCCATGAACCACCCGGGCTCTGCGTCCACACCAGCCCGTGCACCAGCCTTTGAAGCGCCTCATGAAGGCCTTGCGATGCCAGTATGCTACAAGAGCCCATCTATGCACGCACCTAGCGCCGTCCACAACGTTGTTGGCCACCCCGTCGGTGAACCAGGGGCTCTGCGTCCACACCAGCCCGTACACCGGCTCCTCCTGCCCCCCCCACCCCACACTGCGCCCCTGCTGGTGCTTGGCCAATGGAAAGCTGCCATGTGGACGAGGAATGAGTGGTAGGAAGGAATAGCGAGATTGGGGACGGAGGGGCAAGAGAAGGGGAGAAGAGAAGAGAGGAGAGGAGAGAGCTCTAGGAGCAACGGTGGAAGGCAGAAGAAAGATCAGCTCTCCACCTCCCTTCCCTCCCTAGCTTCCTGCCACTACCATGCAGCCTCTGCTAAGTCCGCCACATAAGAACAGCAGCGCAGCCTCTGCTGGATTGGCAGGTGGACCGGGATTGCTCGAGGCACAAAGCAGAGCAGGCTGAGAAGCCACTCACTTGCAGCCGGAGACAGGAGCGCACGTCTCCCACCCCCACTCCTGGGTGCAGTCTGTGGGGTTGCCGTAGTTGGTGGTCCGCCCCACGACTGTGAGGTTGCGCACGGCCACGCCTTCTATCTGGTGCAGCTCCACGCCCCACATGTTGTCCGCCACTGTGAATCCCTCCAGCACCAGGTAGTCCGCATCGTGCACAAAGGCACTGGTACAGGGGGGGAGGGAGAGGGGTGGGCGTGGGGTGAGGGTTGCCGAGGAAGAGAGTTGGGAGGAGAGGAGTGAGCAGCAACGAGGGAGTGAGGAGAGGAGGGAGAGGAGAAGAGATTGCATGCTTCGTGCTGCCGCCATGCGCCCAGACCATTTGGCAGGTGCTGTGCGCGGTAGGTGGTGGCAGAGAGCCAGAGAGGAGGGTGGAGGAAGGAAGGGGGGGAGAGGAGGGTAGGAGAAGAACGGGAGCAAGGAACACAGAAACTTACCCTGCATAGAGGTTCTTGTAGAGGAGGAAGTCGGATATAGTCACCCACACAGGATTATCCCACTGGAAATGGGCAAGAAAGGGACACAGGCGAGAGAAGAAGAGATGCTTCAAAACGGGACCGAGTGTGGCAGCCTTGTGGGGCGCCATAAGGGGTGATGGCGCATTCCCAGGTGGAGGGCGTTGATAGGAAGGGCGGGCATGGATGAGTGAGAAGGCTGTGACGGCTTGCGGCGCCTCAAACGGGACATATATAGGACAGGCGTGGGGTAGCTGGGAGGCGACACATGGTGCATGGCGATGGGTGGGCAGGGGTTGCAGCGAAGTGCGCTGCATTCTTACAGTCATGCGTGCGCGCACACACTCAACCAGGCACCCAGCTGCACGGAAAATCCTGATGCAAGACAACAGGAGCAGGCGACTCACATAGGTCTCATCGGCGTCGTCAGTGGAGGCGTTGTAGCGCGGATAGAAGCTTCCAGGGTAGTTCCGGAAGCCGATGGAGCAGGAGTGGGCGACGTTGCCCGTGTACTGGCCGACCACATGGTGGCTGGACGGGATGAGCGTGTTGACCAGCGGCCACTGCAGTGACAGCCCCCTCACTCTGTCCCTCAGCTCCATCCAGAAGCTGGTTGGTTGCAGAGGGGAGAGAGAGGAAGGTGGGGAGAGAGGGGAGAACGAGAGGGAGGAGGAGAATGAGAGAGGATGATCCATGTAGAGGAAGCTTTTGAGTCGACTCAAAAGATGATCCATGCAGAGGAAGCTTTTGAGTCGACTCAAAAGATGATCCATGTAGAGGAAGCTTTTGAGTCGACTCAAAAGATGATCCATGTAGAGGAAGCTTTTGAGTCGACTCAAAAGATGATCCATGCAGAGGAAGCTTTTGAGTCGACTCAAAAGATGATCCATGCAGAGGAAGCTTTTGAGTCGACTCAAAAGATGATCCATGTAGAGGAAGCTTTTGAGTCGACTCAAAAGATGATCCATGCAGAGGAAGCTTTTGAGTCGACTCAAAAGATGATCCATGCAGAGGAAGCTTTTGAGTCGACTCAAAAGATGATCCATGTAGAGGAAGCTTTTGAGTCGACTCAAAAGATGATCCATGTAGAGGAAGCTTTTGAGTCGACTCAAAAGATGATCCATGCAGAGGAAGCTTTTGAGTCGACTCAAAAGATGATCCATGTAGAGGAAGCTTTTGAGTCGACTCAAAAGATGATCCATGTAGAGGAAGCTTTTGAGTCGACTCAAAAGATGATACATGCAGAGGAAGCTTTTGAGTCGACTCAAAAGATGATCCATGTAGAGGAAGCTTTTGAGTCGACTCAAAAGATGATCCATGTAGAGGAAGGCGTGAAGCGAGGATAGCGGAAGGGCAAGAAGTAATTCTAAAGAGACCTTGCACTCCAGTGGGAGCAAGTCAGACCCAACCACATCCAGCATGTGAGGATGCTCACCCAGTGTCCTCCGACCCGGCAGCCACGTTCCCAATGAAGTTGTTGTTGGCGTTGCTGATCCAAAATGTCGACGGCTGGTCGTCCGTCTCCTCCGGTGAGATCTTCACCACCGCTGCTCGCATGATTGCACGCACAGAAACGCACAGAACCGAACAGGACCACAAAGACATGCACCCAAACGTGTGAGGGAGGAATCCGTGGGGGCGCGGTGGGGGGGGATGAGGTGCCAGGCAGGAGTAGAGGACAGCAGGCGAGGCAGCGGCAAAGCACGCATTGTTATCCACCTGGCGCACCCATACACCCCAGCTGCACCAGGACTCCCCAAACCCCAACACAAGCACCCACCTGGGCGCGTCCAGATGCCGACGTTTCTGATGAAGCTGTTGCCGTGCTCGCCGCCCTCCTCCACCATGAAGCAGTGCCCCCTCGTGTTGAACGCCACGTTCTCCTCCACCGTGAGGTTGAACGTGGCGTGCACGACCACGCACCGCTGCTTGCTGTCATGCATCACGTTCTTCCGCACCACGCTGCGCCCCGCCTGGTTCCCGCACAGGTGAAAGTGGATGTTGTAGCGCCCCAGCTGCCCCTGCTGCCCCATCTGGGCGAACTCCACCCCTTCGATGATTTGGGCTGCCTGCGTGAAGAAGACCATGAAGTGGCCGCCCTCCCACTGGTGCGGGGCGCGCTCGTCCGCCCCTCGGATGACCACGGAGCGGTTCAGCAGCACCACGCTGCCGCGCTCGTCGATGGAGCCGCCGAACCCGTCCGGGACGAACTCGCCAAAGTGGTTGTACGCCAGGGGCTTGGTGAGGGTGATGCGCGACTTGCCGCCGGGCAGAGGGATCACTGGGAAAGAGGGGGAGGGGAGGGGAGGGGAGGATGGAGGGTCGGAGAAAAGGGAGAAGCAGCGTCCACATGGTGAGGTCATAAACCAGTGGCAGCCGGCCTCATATAGGACCCTCTTGGCCGTGCGGTCACATGGCACACCACACTGCGATCCGATCACCCTCGTGTAAGCTGAAAGGCAAGTGACTCCACTCACCATCCGCAATGGCAGCAGCATGCACCGCCTCGGCATAGAATTCAGCAGCGGCAAGCCCAACATAGAAACAGAGGAGAGTTCTGCGTCGGTCAAATGACAGACAGACGACTCAACTTGCAGTGTCACATGACTCACCATCGGCGATGGCAGCAGCGTCCACCTCGTCCGCGTAAAAGTCAGTGGCAGCCAGCCCCACGTGGTAGCCCTTGGGCCACGCGCTCACATCCTGGTCCACCACGATGCTGCGGTCGCCCGCCCGCACTGAAGCTGCCAGGTGGCACCAGGAGGGCGTGGAGGAGCCCCCCGGCATGCCGTGCATGCGCACCTGCCCGCCCACCTGGAGTGAAGGAAGGAGGCACAAGGGATGGAAACAGCGAGTTGGGTGGAAAACTGAAACGAATTCGGGAGAGCGTTGCGGCGTTCCACTTGGCGTGGATGAGCCCCCTGTCACGCCGTGCGAGCTCACCTGACAGCCCACCTGGGGTGATGATGTGGCAGCACAAGGGGTGCAGTAAGGATTCAAAGAGCAGATTGAAGGCGAAAGGGGAGTGTGGGGTAAGGCACCTGCATGTTTGGACTCGCTTCACATCCAGCCCACAGCCCACAGCCCACAGCCCATAGCACGCAGCCCACAGCCCACAGCCCACAGCCCACAGCCCACAGCCCACAGCCCACAGCCCACAGCCCATAGCACACAGCCCTTACCACACAGCACAACTAAGGCCGTATGCCCCGAATTGCAGGGTCGTTTGAATCTGCTGGCGTCTATTCTTTAGGCACCTAATCAACACGCACGCACCCCACTGCCCCACACCACGTACCACGACAAGCGCCTTGTGCCCCAAGTTGCGCGGGTGGGTGGCATCGGCGGGCGCGTTGGCGGTGTACAGGTAGTTCCTGCGGCCGTTGGGGTTGGGCGTCAGCGTGAAGACGGCCCTCTGGGAGAAGTGCCTGGCGCTGCTGCCCACCAGCAGCTGCCCCTCCACGATCACAAACGACGCGTTCACCGCCACCAGCGGCAGCGAGGGCGAGTCCTCGATTCTGCAAGACGACAGGCAGGCAGGGGATGGAAGGGGCAGAGCACTGGGAGGTGGTGCGCGTGGCACTGCTGCCCACCAGCAGCCTCCCCTCCGCGACCACAAACAATGCATTCACTGCCACCAGCGGTCGCACAGGGGTGTCCTCCAGTCTGAGAGAGACAGGTGGCAGGCGGGAACGGGAAGGGAGGGGTAGGGGGAGGGGGAGCGGACAGAGCAGGGACGGTAGGAGACAGGGACGGGAGGAGACAGGGACGGGAGGAGACAGGGACGGGAGGAGACAGGGACGGGAGGAGACAGGGACGGGAGGAGACAGGGACGGGAGGAGACAGGGACGGGAGGAGACAGGGACGGGAGGGGAAGTGGAGGGGGAAAATGGAAGACGAGGGGAGGGAAGGGGAAGAGCGGCCGTGCGTCAAGGGAGAGTTCAGATCACCAGGGGGTGAGATTCTGAGGCGACGAAGGCATAGCTTCACCCTGGGAGGACGCTCTAGGCTACCAGCAAAGGGTGGGCTGGACTGAGGGAAAGGGAGCGGGCAGGATATGAAAATGATACGCGGGGCAATGGGTCACGGATGCGAGGACCACAGGCACTGTTGAGGCGCCTTAGAACTCACTTGAGCATCCCCCTTATAGTGAGCGTCGTTAGCACCACGGCCGGCACATTGAGCAGCATGGCCTGCCCGCAGGGGATGGTGGCATTGGCGCGCTTGGCGCCCCCCACGCCTGGCACCACGCCTCCGGGCCACGTGGAGGGATCGCTCCACAGCTTGAAGCCTACAGGGCAGGACGAGGGGGTGCAGTGAGATCCAGTGCGGTGCAATGAGATCCAAGCCAAGGAAAGCATATAAGAAAATCAAGCCGGTAGGGGAGCGAGAAGCAAGCGGATGAGGGACGCACCGCCCGCGGGAGGGTCGGAGAGGGGCGCGCCGCACGGCGGGTCGAAGCTGTCCCACGGCACTTGCGGCGAGGCGCACGCGACGGGCAGGCGGCCCGGCGAGAGGAGGAGGCATGTGAGGCACGCCGCGGCGAGGAGAAGCGGCGGGACGAGCGGCGAGCGAGACGGGCGGCGAGGGGAGAGCGGGACGGATCTCATGATGGCGCCGCGCGCAGCTGCCGACATGCGATTGGGAGGAGGCTGCTACGCCGATGGGAGCAGCGCCAGGGGGCAACGACTGTTCAGGAGTCACTCCAGAGGAAGTTCTTAATGCCATGTCGACCACCGGCTAAAGTACTTATGCTGCTCAAGACGGCGCGCGGACAGCGGTGCGGTGACCTGAGGTCAAGAGGGAGAGTGACGCTTCAGTGACGGCGCGCGGACAAGTCGCGGTTTGAGCTACGGGGGTTCGTACACTCGTAGATTCGTGGATTCCGGACATGGCGGGCTGCACACGAACTTATCCGACGGTCATCGGAATACAACGGCCCCACCGAATCGCATATGAACGCACAGTGAACGAGCGTCCCATGTGTCTGAAAACCTAGGCCCTGATCGGTAAGCCGATATTCCGGAATGAAGAATTCGGAATTCGGAATCCGCTGCGAGCTTTCCGTATTCCGCGCGTTGACTCGCCAGGCTAGGTGACGGCGAGAAGCTGGGCTGTTTTATGTGCGAAATTGCATGATGTAAGTGACGCGTCTGAGCTGGCAAATTTCCAAACTTGCCCGCCACGATCTTGGTCACGAAAAACAAAAGGGAGAGGGGAAACAGGGCTTCAAATTGTGCATCTGGGGCCCTGCATCTGGCTTGATATCGAAATGTGACCCTGGATTTGTTTTCTTGGCGGTCAGACACAGGCTGGTATTGAGTATTCAACGTTTCCCGTTTCCGAAATAAGGGCATTAGTTATTGCGTCTGGATTGCCCCACTCTTCACTATTCCCAGCTATTCCTGAAAAAAAGCTGGAATACACATCGACCAGCTGTTGGCATGATTTCGCCTGAGTCTGCAGCCAGGTGCCCTTTCCTTATTCCGAATTCCAGCCTTCCTAATTCTGGTGATCGGTACACACCTCTATTCCAGGAGGTTTGGTGTGATTAAAATGATTGATTGGCTTTAAGCCTATTCCGAGCCAGCCCTGAGAAATTGCTCGACACCATCCTTATTCCAGGGCCCTAATTCGTCTCTTCCCTCGTAATGAGCTGTAATTTAGTTTGGAGGCGGTTCCGTAGCAGCCAGGAATGCGAGCACGGTAACCTCGCGAAAAGCAGCGACCACCGTTTTGACCACACGAATTTGACCCCTGCCGAATCGTGGCAAGTCTCGCGACGCTCGCCAGGGTTATGGCGAGCTGGAAAATCGACCTGCGAATTTCGACGACCAGGATGAAACAAAGGTTGTGGAACTTTTAGGCGACAACGCTTCACGCAGCACAGCGGCGGTATTCTACGCGCTGAAACCTAGAGGAACCACGCCAAAAGCCTGCAAAGTTAGGGAACGTTACTTTTCACCTCACATGTAATGAATTACCATTCCTTACTGGGGCTCGCCAGAGCGAGTACACGCGAACCTCTCGGGTCCGCAGGCTCGGCCCTTGGTTCTCGCGCCAAACCAGCCCCCGTTGACCTCGACGGCCCCAACCTCATCCTGAGTCGCCCCGAACCCATTTTGACCCCGTCACCCTTAGGACTACCGAGCCCTTGACTGGTCAAACTCGAGGTTCATCCTGGTCAATTCGCACTATATAAGCTCTAGGTCTCATTTGCATAGGACATTCTGTATAATTCTGTAGTCACGTTCCCCCTTATAGAATTCTGCACTATACTTTGAGTTATCATTCATAACATCTGGTATCAGAGCTACGTTCCTGCCCGTTAGGTTTCCGATAGGGGAGCAGACCCTATCGGAGAAGGGGCGGAAGGATGCTGATGGCGAGCGGACGTCACGAAGATTAAGTGGGCGGGCGTTTCCGATGTCGTCAAATCCTGTCGGGTGGACGGCTGGGATTAGCCGATCCTCCCCTTCCCCGATCGTAGATGGAATTATCTTCTGTCGTGAGTGTGGCAACGTTTTCGCCGTGTTTTTCAAGTACGTTTGTTACAGCTTTCGTGAATTTCGGGCGTTCTGACGGAGTCTTCGGATTGGCTTCCAAAAAAAAGGAAAAAAACGAAGGCTTCGTCACGAGTAGACAAGTGCACAGGAGTCCTCAGACGGCCGGGAGTTGGTCGGCAGGAGCGCGCGGGGTGGCGAAATTGGCGGGACGTACGGCGATGTACGTCTGGCACGCCATGCAGCGGCAGGGTGAACTGTAGCTGCATCGCATGTTGTACCGGCGGTTCTGGCAAGCTAGTTGCAGACGATGGACGGGACTTCGGAAACAGTTTTCGGCAACGGGCGGATCCGACGATTTCATAACGATAAGATCGCACGCGGACGTGTGGGTGTGCAGTTGTGGGGGAGCAGCTGGGACTAACGCCCTTGGCGCTATTCACAACGACGGCCATCAGGAGTTGGTGACGCTGTGCTGAAGTGAGTGTACTCAGCGAGGGCGACTTCCCGCGTGGGGAGGCATTTTTCATGGACCAGCGATTCATACCCCCACGATCAACGGAAACGGAGGCCACCACCCTTGGGTGTGTATTAAGTGCCTTTCCACTAGTCGCCGAAAGCGTTACCTGTAAAGGAGCTGGAGCAGTGGAAGAAGAACGACGGGGGTACGGGAGCAGTTAAGGGTTAGCACCGTTCGGACTGCTGCTCGCTCAGCTACGTTGGGTACCGGAGAATTTCTGGCGTTGGGTAACAGCTAGGCAGAGATCGACGGCGTATGATGCGCATTGACCCTGATCGACGGCCAAAACATCATGCCGAGGCGGTGGAATCTGGTGTTCCCTAAAATAAAGGGTTTAGTTTATGCGTACATGTGGTAGAGCGATCGTGGGGGCGCTGCTAAAGGACGCCGTGGCGCCTTAGCATTCTTACGGGTAGCTGTGAAGCGGAGTTGCGATATTTTCCTAGTACCGGGTGGAGTTCCGACATTTTCAGTGGTTTTGAGAAGTAAAAGGGTTTACAGCTGGAGTTGTGCCCCCTATCATCGGGGCTACGAACAACATCGACCAAATTTTGCGGAGTATTCTTGGTACATGGAGCCGAGGGAGAGCAGTCGCTGTTTCGGTCTTTCCTAATATTTCAATGTGTACGGACAAAAAAGCTGATGCAGCTGGCGTCATTTGACCCTGGGTTCCGTTCCAGGTTTTTGACTGGAGTGGTTCAATACAAGTTACATGCCATCGCCATTGCCGTCTTTCTCTTGCCACCACCCGCTACCACCTCAATTCTCAATTCGCCTGATTGTGTGAACACGACCCCACGTTGCCATCCGAATCGACAAGCAGCAAGATCGGATTTACAAGGGATTCAGCAACTATGGGAACTTTGTTAGGGTCAGCTCGCAAGCAGTGTGTTGACTCATGAAGAAATTTTGAAGCTCGTTGGCGTCTACAAGAGCAGTTGTCGTTGTGTTTTCAAGACTCAGGGAGAGGTCTTACCTAATAAAGAAATTTAGTTGGAGCGGATTTTGGAGTTGGGTTTCTTCACCGGCATCTTCGACGCTGCGTTTTATCATAATTTAGGCAGCAGTCTAGGTACTTCCACTACCCTGGAGCATTGGGTTTCATGGAGTTTTACCTGGGAAGTTGGGAGCTGTTTCTTCTTGGAGGGGGGAGAATTGCAGCTGCGCTGCAGATTTTGTCTGACCCTTCCTGCGTGTTCCATCATCCATCTTCGAGCAACATTCGTCTCCATTACGCTTCTGCGCCTGATTTCGTCAATTCATTGATGGAGTTCACTGACTCTCGTGGGACACAGACGCGTGATCTCGCATGTAACACGAACGACCTCGCGTTTTGATGAGCAGGTTCTTCACTTCATCGTCCATCTCATTCGACTGTGTCATCATTACGGAAGATATCTAATAGCCACTCCTCATTACCAACCGCCTAGTCGACAGTTTCACTGTTCACAGTCTCCCGCTGGAGTATTTACCATTGCCCGTTTGGTCAGCAGAAGAATTCGACCATCTTCGACGACTGTAATTAAAAAGCGATCGTTTCGACGCTTTCTGATGATCGATTTCAGTTCGACCTCAAGACCTCGTCAGGTCGGCGTAATCATTACGCTCGTCACAGGGTTGAAGACTTAGAGCGTGTTCCTATCAGCCTCTTCCCAAGCAACCTCTTCCCAGACTCGCGTGCTACATTGTTGCAAATTTTGACGCGAAATGTTTCAGTGTGATTCCGCGAAGTGCGAGGTGAGATCCGGCTTCCCGAGATTCAGGGGCGTATTTTAAAACCTTTTTTTTTCATACGAGCAGATTTCCAGACAAGCGCGAATCTGCACAGTAATTTTTTTACGCCAACTGGTTTTATGTAGCTGAGAGCGATGGAACGCAAATATGAAACGGGAGTATTCCAAAAATTAGTCTTGGGAACACGCTCTCAAGGTTACGCATGAGTCTGGGAAGAGGTTGCCTGGGAAGAGGCTCGTAGGAACACGCTCTTACAATCACATCGGGGATTACTTTTAATGACTGTTCATTCTGGATCAAGGGAGTGCCTTCCTTTAGAAGGTGGGAGAGTGTAAGGAATTACCATTCCTTATTGGGGCTCGCCACAACGAGTACACACGAACCTCTCGAGTCCGCAGGCTCGGCCCTTAGTTCTCGCGCCAAACAGCCCTCGCCGACCTCGACTGAAAGAATTTGAAAATTGGTGCAGGAGACGAATTATATAATCTGCAAACACAAGTACTTGAAGTAGAAAGTAATACTAGAAGTACCTCCCGTAACAGCCAGTATTAACAAGTTGTAACACCAGAGTTATTGTTACAGCCTTGCGATACTTCAAGATTTAACCAAGGATCTTTGCTGGAATGGTAGACTAGTACCGTAATCCCTCGGATATAACACCCCAGGTATACCACAAAATTCATGCTAAAAAGGGGGGGTGGGTGCTCTATTTCGCGTTTAGGCTATAGCACCCTGGTGTTATATTTGAGGATGAAAAATTTTAAAGGTGCATTGTGATCTCTGTTTATTCAGCTATCCAACCGTCTTATTTTGGGCTCGATCGGGCATTAAATGTGCGCGATCTGAAGGTTGGAAGTGCGCCAAAGGGTTAAGCCCGTTACAGTGAGCCATGCAGCTGGAAACCAGTAGAGGACCACAGTACGAAACTCTCTCACGCGCGGGACACCTGTGCTGTCACTTGGCGACGTCGCGTTGCCTCGGGCGACACGTTGAACGTGTCGCCCGCCAATGCCGTGACACTTACGCGAGGGGGGTTCAGCAGTGGTATTTCTAGGCGAACCGTTGCGAACAGGTCTCTGTATGTACCCCTTTCTCTCTCAACCTTTCTCCCAAGAGCATGACGAACGCTGGAATCCGCGTTCTCTTCAACCGTAGAGCAGGTAAAAATGCTAGCACCCCTAGCCATGTCACGCATACCGCAGGTTCTCCTTCTAGCCGCGCAGCACCAGTAGTGCAACCGACCGCTACGGGGTGGTTGCGTCGTGGCTACGTAGCGGCGGACGATGATATTTACGATGGCATGCCGGAGCTTGGCGGTGACGAGGCTGCAGCCGACGACGAGAACGATGAGGATGCGGACGAGAGGAGGAGTACGCCGACGAGGCAGCAGCAGCTGCTATCGCGGCAGCAGATCCATTTGACGACGAGGATCCGTGGACTATGCCCGATGTCGCGGTTCCATCCTTCCCGTCGTCCAGTGAGCCGTCGACCGAGCCTGAGTCTGTCAACCATGATGCGAGACCACCGTCGCCTCATGCCAGGCTGTCGGGCAACAAGCGGCAATCCATCAGCGCGCGCGAGAAGCTAATGTGGATATCCATGTTCGATACGCATCCAGCTCCGTCGCAGCGGATGGTCGCACGCATGGCGAAGGTGCAGCCGGTCATGATCCGTTAGTGACGGAAGGCACAAGAACAGCTAAAAGGAGCGGCACCTAGTTGGAAGCGTCTTCGCGGAGCCGGCCGGAAATCCAAGTACCCCGACATGGAGCGGGCCGTCTTCTGCCACTATCTCTGCGCGCGGCGACGCGGTCTCCCCCTGCCAGTGGGGCTGATTCAGATCTGGAGCCGCGATTGGATGCGCGACCACTTCGCGACCGTCGAATGGAGGGCGTCGTCGCGGTGGTCATTTCGTTTCCGCCGTCGATGGGGCCTCACCGTGCGGGTTAAGACGAAGATGGGGCAGAAGCTTCCCGCTGGTAAGCTCCCCCGCCCCTCACTCATGTCTAGTGTTGCATACCCTTTGCACTCTGGCTGTTATATCCAGCGGAAGTCTTTGAACTCTTATTTAAGAACAAGTTAACAATTAAAGTTGTACAAGCTACTGTACTTTTATATCTGCTAGAAGTACCTATTCGGTGATGTACCTGTTCGAGTTATTTGCGCAATGCGCACTAACCGCTACTGAAAAGAGCGCGACTGTTCGCGTGACTGAAACGACTTGCTAACGTAATCATCCAGACGAGCGCTATTTGCTGACGTCATTCTACGGATGCTAACTACAGTGTAACTCGACAATATCTATTGGGATTACTTACAGAACCGGGTGTTACATCCGGGTGTTATATCCGGACGACCAAGGTTCAGAGCCCAATCCGGGTGTTACATCCGGGTGTTATAACCGGGTGTTACATCCGGGTGTTTATGCGGTAGCAGGGTTCTCAATGGCAGCAGGCGCAGAGGGACCAAGGCTAGGATTGGGCTCTGAAAGTACGACCGCGTCCGAAACAAAAATGGACGGTCGCATTCAAGTCCGCAGGATTGACAAGGGGCGGTTGGGGAAACTCACGGAAATCACGGGTGGAGGGGTGGGGGCTGCGAATCTGCTATTACACGAACCTGGACAAACATGGCTCACTGCACTTTTAACGCTAATCGATCAAAGTCCACTCCTAAAAAAACGCTGAAATTTCAGGCCAGTGTCTTAAAAAAATCCTGTCTCATCAAGGTCACCCCCTACCAAGGTCAGGGGGGGGTTGTCCCCTCTACAGTAGGATTCAGGAATGTAGCAAACCTACCAAGCCTAAACAATTATATATATATGATATATAATTTGACAACCTCATCCTGAGTCGTCCCGAACACATTTTGACCCCGTCACCCTCGGGAATATCGAGCCCTTGACTGGTCCAACTCTCGAGGTTCAACCTGGTCAACTCGCACTATATAAGCGCTAGGTCTCATTTGGATAGAACATTCTGTATAATTCTGTAGTCACGTTCCCCATATAGAATTTTGCGCTATACTCTGAGTTATGATTCATACCATCACACGTACTATTCCGTACACCGGGTGCCTATGCTCTTCTATATAAGCGGACCCAAACCTTTCTCAATACATTACAGCTATCCAGTTTTGAATATGCGTTACAGATTGGTTTTCTAGAAACTCTTTGTGAATCACAAGAGGGCGCGCTTTGATGTCACTGAGTGGCACAGATGGTTCCTTCTCACTTATGAACGTTTCAAAGGTTTACGCTTCGGTAAAGTCGCGGGACATCTGGTTTTGTATGTTACCCACTCCGTACTTCAACCTCCCAGCGTGTGCCCAGGCTCCTTATCTCACCCTCATCCCCGCACAGCGCAGCTGTGGTCGCACTGGGAGGCACCATGGCGCTGTCGCAGAACGCTTTGGCACAACGATTTGAGAGATTAGTGCCGCATTCCGCCGCATCGTTCTCGAGCGCCGCTTCCCCTCACCGCCAATCGCGCAGCCCGTCACAGGGGCTTCGCTCCCTGCGAGCGGCGTCAGCCTTTCCCGTGTTACCGCATCCCACCTCTCAGTCGATAAAGGCAAACCCTAGAGTGTGCGCGCTCTTAGCGACGACCGACAATATATGTCGCGGTGACGTCTGTGGTAACCATGGGGAGAAGCGTTACACCTTTGTCCCTGGCGTTACGGCGAGGAAACCACGCGGTCGTCGCCCGTTGCTGATCACCGCAGCTTCCGCGAGCGGCGTTTCGGGGGGCTCTGAGCCGTCGCGTGATGCACCGAGTTCGAGCGCAGTTCGGCAAGCCGACGCCGGCCACGTGGCAGCTGACGTGGTACGCGCAGCGGAGGCGGCGGTGCTAGCATGGTGGGCCACGGCAGCTAGCTGGGTGAAATGGCCCGTGGCGATATTGTGAGTGCCGAACGGGGGGAGGGGGAGGGGGGAGGGGAGGGGAGGGGAGGGGAGGGGAGAGAGGGGGGAAGAGGGATGGGGGGAAAGAAATGGTAGGTGGGGGTAGGGCGGGTTTGGGGCATAATAGGGTTAAGCGGAACGACGGTATTGCGAAGCAGACAGCAAACTCGGCCTTGGCGGCATGGTGAGTGGCAACATGGTGAGTGGCAACATGGTGAGTGGCAACATGGTGAGTGGGAACATGGTGAGTGGGAACATGGTGAGTGGCAACATGGTGAGTGGGAACATGGTGAGTGGCAACATGGTGAGTGGCAACATGGTGAGTGGCAACATGGTGAGTGGCAACATGGTGAGTGGCAACATGGTGAGTGGCAACATGGTGAGTGGCAACATGGTGAGTGGCAACATGGTGAGTGGCAACATGGTGAGTGGCAACATGCGAGGGAGTGCGAGCTATGCAGCTGACGAGAGGGGTGGGAAGGACGGTACTTGGAATTACTATTGCACGGCTAGTGAAGTCGTGAAAATGCTGGAATGGGCTGGAGTCCGTTTCCAGCGTGAATGGAAGAGCTGGTGAGCCCAGCGACATGGGGCGCCTGACACGAGGTGGTTGTCCAGGCCGACCAGTCATGACGCTCGGAGGGGACAGAGGAGGGGAGAGGGGAGGGGAGGGGAGGGGAGGGAGGGGGGGAGAAGAGGCGAGGGGAGGGGAGGAGAGGGGAGGGGAGGGGAGGGGAGGGGAGGGGAGGGGAGGGGCTCTTGGAGATGTGAAAGACGGTAAGGCGGCGTGGGGGTGTGAGCGATAAGCCAGGGAGTGTGCCTCCCATCTTCTGCCGCCCCCCTTACTCTAACACCTTCCCCCTTCTTCCGCCGCCTTCACCCTTTTCCTGTTCCTTCCCCTCACCCCCAATCTCTCCCGTACAGCACACCTCCCGTGCTACAACACATCCCTTCCCACGTCCTATGCCTTCCCCTCTCTCCAGCCTGGCCTTCTTCTGCCTCACAACCATCACCACCTTTGAAGCACCTGTTGCAGCCATCTCCTCCTTCTTGTCCCTCGGTGTTCCACCCATCCTCCCTACCCCACCCCCCTTTCCCCTTACCCCTTTTTTCCCTTGTGAACATATTCTTTGGAGCCGCTGCAACAGCCAGCCTCATACCCCTCTGTGTTCCATTCCCTCCCTTGCTTTCTCGTTTGCTTTCCCTTCCCTTCCCCTGCCTCCTTCCGCCAGCCTGCCCCTGTTCGCCCTCGTGAACATCATATTCGGCGCAGCTGCAGCAACGGACCTCACGCCCCTCTGGCTGCTCGGCCCTCTCCTCCTCTCCGCCTCGCTCCGCCTCTCCCACTCCCTGCACCAACTCTCCCTCACCCTTCTCCACCGCACTGCACCGCAGCGCCAACTCCTTCTGGCCCGTGGCACTGAGCTGGCCGGCTACTTGTGCTCCGGAAACGTCCCAGAAGACGCGAGGAAGCTTCTTGGGAAACTACAGGAGGAGGTGGAGGAGAAGGGGCGGTATTCGCTGTCTGTAGTGCAGGAGAGGCGGGCGGCGCTGGTGGTTTACGTGAACAGTGGCAGGATGGCAGAGGACGTGCAGTCGAAGGCAGAGCGGTGGGCAGTGGAGCGGTGGGAGCAGCTGTGCGATTGGACGATCATGAGAGCGGAGGACACATCGGATTGGCTGCGAGTCACGCGGAGAAGGTTGGGCAAGGTGCTGGAGAAGGTGTTCTGAGAGAAGGTGTTTTGAGAGAAGGTGTTCTGAGAGGAGTTCTGAGAGGTGTTTTGAGAGAAGGTGTTCTGATAGAAGGTTTTATGAGAGTGTTGAAGTGTACTTGACAGAGTTACCACTTACGCATTCGTGGTATACTTAGACTGTACGAGTAGCGCGATACCTCACATGGAAGGATGCGCGTAATGACGTCAGCAGCGGTGAGTCAACGTGTGAACTGTCAAATTATATATTTAACAGATATATTTGTGTAGGCTTGGTAGGTGTTCTACTGATTGTGGATCCTACTATAAAGAGGAAAACCCCCCTTCTTGTTTCTCTCTCTTCTTAGTCGATTCACTTTTTCCTCTGACTAACTTCTCTCGCTCTCGAGCTAAACCCTTCCTTAGCTCTTCGAACATGGTTTCAGTTTGGGGTCCCGCCAAAGTCCCTGGGCCACGTCGCGAGCACTACTTTCTAGTGCTTGTCGACGACTTCACGCACAACACCACAGTGTTTCCCCTGGAGCGGAAGGCCGACGTGCCTAACGCCCTTATCTCGTGGGCCGTACCTGGGCGAGTCCACCGCGGCCTCCCCGTGCTGCGTCTCCACTACGACCGTGGCAGAGAGTTCGCCTCCGGTCGGCTTGGTCAGTTATTTCATGCGGAGGGCATCGTCCACCCAGTCATACACCCTGCAGGACTCCCCGCAAGATAATGAGGTCGCAGAGCGACGCATCGGTTTGGTCATGGAGGTGGCTCGTACCTCCATGATCCATGCCGGTGCACCCCATTTTCTGTGGCCGTTCGCAGTTCGCTACGCCGCTCACCAGCTTAACATGTGGCCACACTCCCAGCGGCCGCAGGTTTTGCCGACCCTTCTCTGGACCGGGTTCCCTGGTGATGCGTCTGCGTTCCATGTCTGGGGATGCCTTGCTCACGTTTGTGCCTCTGGCATGGACAACCTCACTGCCCGCACCATCCCTTGTGTCTTCCTTGGTTTCCCCCTCGACGCTTCTGAGTGGCACTTTCACCACCCGCCGTCTCACCGTTTCTTTCACGTCCGCGACGTCACTTTTGACGAGTCTATCTCTTTCTACACCCGCTTTCCTTACCGAGATCTCTCGGTTACCCCGCCCCTGTTCCTAGTCCCCACTCCCCCGGTAGCCCCTGCTCCTCTACCTCCCCGTCTGGTGTGTCTCACGTTACTCTCCTTTTGTCGGCTGTCCCGGTCGAGAGGTCTGCTGACTCTGGGGGCCCCGTGGCTTCGGTGTCGCCGCCTGTCTCCGGCCCAGTGTCCCCTCCTCCGCTGCCGCAGCAGCAGCCGCCGTCGTCGCCGCCGCAGCAGCAGCCGCCGCAGGGGTCCGCGAGCTCTGGGGGTGTGGGCGTTGAGGAGGTTGCTAGTCCTGGGGGTACTGTCGTGGCTTGTCCCGGCGGTCCTTGGGGTGGCGCCGGTGCTGGAGAGGTTTCTCGTTCTGGAGGTGCTGGTTCTGGGGTGTTAGTCCTGGGGTTATTATCGTGGCTCGTCCCGGCGGTCCTGGGGGTGGCACCGGTGTTGGAGATGGTTCTCGCTCTGGGGGTGTTGGCGTGGAGTGTCCCGGAGGTAGCCGTGGTGCAGTAGGAGGTCCTGGTGTCGACGTGGAGGAGCAACAACAGCAGTCGCCGCCGGTGTTCGCCCTTCGCCTCCTCGGTCTTCCCTTCCCTGACCGCCCACCTGTGCCTCCCCCGCCTGTCTATGGTCCTGTGTTTCCTCCGCCCGACTCGTCTCCGGCTTGTTTTCCCCCGCGTAGTACATTGGCCTCCAGTGCCAACACAGCTGATATCTTTTCGAAGGCGCTTGCGCCTAAAGATCATCAGCGGCACTGTGTACAGCTTGGTCTAGTTCCTGTAGCTTCTCACTTGCTAGGACCTTGATTGTGTACCTCTTCTTATATTATCTTGACTGGCCTTGTGGCTCTTGTTCCAGTGGCTGGACTAGTAGTGCCGCCTTGGATTACTCTTGTTTAGTTTGTACTCTTGCTGACTGGTCCTTGGACCCTTTGCCTCAGAGGTTGGACTAGTAGTGCCACCCTGAACTGCGTGTCTCTTACCAAGCACTACCCCTCATCTAGCCTAGGGGGTTTTTCAAAACATATGTGTGTATGTCTTATATGCTACATAGGTTCGTACTCTTAGAGAGTACAATCCCTTAGCACAAAAGCACCTTGTATCTCTCATTCTAGTCAATTTTCTAACTCTGAGATTCAGAGCAGGCTGATCCTACTAAGCCTCCTTCTCACGCTTCCGCATCGTTCTCTCCCCCAACTCGTTACCTTCGCGCTGCTGTGGCATCGGCGCCACGCCATGGCGGCTTCAACGTGCCAGCGCACGGACCTCAGCGGCCAGCTCACCGTTTAAGGCGCCAGCCATGACGCCCGCACGCCAGCCAGTGCGCCAGCCACGAGCGCCTTGCTGAAGCACGCCCCTCCCCTGTGTCTCCCCTTATTCCAGTCGCAGTTGATGACTTAATGCCCCGTCGTCCGCGGGTTCATCATGGACGAGGACGGGTGGCGGTAGCGGTGGTTGGCGCCTGGTGAAGACCGTGTTAGGATGGGCATCGGAAGTTGGACATGGAAGGCGTTGTGAATCTTTGAGGTAGCGTAAGCGGACGGTGACAGGAGTGACCTGTGCTTCAACGAGGAAGGGCCCGCAGAAGTGAGCTCGAAGTTTGGATGGGAGATGACTGATGTCGAGATTGTGGGTGACGAGTAGAACCTGGTCTCCCACGGTGATGGTGTAGTCAGTGCGGTGGCAATCGGCCTGACGCTTTTTCTGCTGCTGATTGTCAAGGAGGCGCTTGTGGGTCTGATCCCAAAGCAGATGCATGGTCGTGATGAAGTCATGTGCAGGTTGGACTGTGGCTGATGTTGTTGGTTTTTGTGGCGTGAGCGGGTTGCGTCCGTAATAGAGAAAGAACGTCATCTTTCTAGTAGCGGCGTGAGTGGCGTTGTTATAGGCAAACTCCAGGACGGGCAAATGCAAGTCCCACTAGAGATTTCATCCTTGCATGCTGCGCGGAGGAGTTGTTCTACAATTTGGTTGAGACGCACAGTCTGTCGATCTGTCTGTGGATGGTAGGCGGATGACATGGCGAGTTTGGTCGTAAGTAGAGACATCAGTTCCTTCCAGAACTTGCTGGTGAACTTCGGGTCTCGGTCGGAGATGAGTGTGGTTGGAATGCCATGCTATGAAATGATGTAGCGAATGGACAGTTGTGTTGTCTCCTCGGTGCATGCTGTCGTGTGTGTCAGGATGAAGTGTCCCATTTTAGAAAATTTGTCGATGACGACGAGGATTGTGTGATGACTGCTTGTGGTAGTTGGTAACCTGGTTATGAAGTCCAGGCTAACCACTTGCCATGGCTGCTTTGCAATACCGGTGAGCTTCTTGTTGCTACCGAAGTGTCCTGCATATAGGACATCGTGGTATTCTTCGATTTGTAACTAGTGCAACGGCGGGTGACTGGGTACCCAGATTTTCGTTGATCCTTCCCGGTACGCGATGTTACGGTCCCACTGTAGCAGCGGTCGCTTTTCAGCCAAGGGAATTTTGGGGTCAATGGTGTACCCGTGTGTGAAGATTCCCTTGAGTAGTGGGTTCATCCATTCGACGCGGATAGCGGCAACGTGTGCAGGTTGGCTATGAGTGTCTGCTTTGTTTTTGTGGTCGGGCTTGCACATGATGTCGTAATGGAAGTGCGTCTCGAGGACGTCAATCCATCGGACCTGCCACCTGGAGAGGTTTGGATGTGTCTTCAAATATTTCAGGCTACAGTGGTCGGTGTAGACTGTTGCCAGGGCTTCTTTGTCGTGTATCGGGTAGTTTAGTTTTGCCCCGTACTTTTTTTTGCTGAGGCAGGCGATTGCTCACAGTCCATTCCCCTGGTTTTGCATCAAGACTGCTCCCACTACCTGGTCACTAGCGTCAGCTTCGATAACGTAGTCGCGTTCTGTGTGAGTGCGAGTGCGGACGTGAGTGCTTGTTTCAGCTGCTCCAGGACTTCCTGATGTTTTGATTCCCACGTATATTGTGTGTTCTTCTTTAACAGATTCGTACGTGGTGCAGCAATTTTCGCGTACTGTGGCACGAACCTGTTGTAATAGTTAGCGAGGCCTAGGAATTGCTACAACTCCTTCACATTTTCGGGTGTCTTCCACGTGCGTACGGCTTCGATCTTCTTGGGATCGACGTAAACTCCTTTAGCGCTCACCATGTGTCATAGAAATTAGACCTTCTTGAGGACGAATTTGCTCTTAGAAAATTTGACGTAGAATCGTTCTCGTCGAAGAATGTCGAAGACGCGTCGCAGGTGTTTGACGTGCTGCTTCATGTTGCACAAGTAGATGAGGATTTCGTTCAAGTACACCACATGCATTCGTCCAAGAGTGGGCGTAGAATGTGGTTCATTTCGGCTTGGAAGGCAGCCGATGCTTGGTGAGTCCGAGCGGCATTACCAGATAGTCGTACAACCCGTACCGAGTTTGGAAGGCAGTTTTGTGGATGGAATTGTCCGCCATTCTAATCTGCCAGTATTCGGACTGCAGATCCAGTTTGGAAAATACCGTGGCTCCCCGAAGCTGGTCAAGCAGGTCATCGATTCGTGGAATTGGGTATTTGTTCTTGATGGTCTGCTTGTTGAGAGCTCGATAATGGATGCACATGCACAGGCTTCTGTCTGGTTTCGGTGTGAAGAGTACTCTGGCACCGTATGGCAAAGTGGATGGTCGGATGAGTCCTTTTGCGAGGAGATACTCGATCTGTTTCTTCATGTCGGCTAGTTCCGTGGGGCTGAGCCGATATGGTGCTCGGAAGGACGGCTTCGAATCCGGTTCTTCCACGATCTCGTGTTGGTGCGTTTGTTATGGCGGTAGCTCATTCGGAAGGTCGTCGGGAAGAATGTCTTGGAACTCCTTCAGTAATTCCTTGATTTTTTCTGGAGGTTCCGAGGCTTTTTTTCCGTCATCTTCCGCGTCTGTTGCTATCGCCAGGAACCCGGTGTCGGTTCGTTTCACATCCTTCTCGAACCTAGTGATTGTCTCCATTGGGATATCTCTTGGGTCGTCCCAATTGTGTAGTTGGACTCTCCTTCCATTATTTTAGATGCTTGCGCAGTACGGTTTACCCAGTTGATCTCGGGGTTCATTTTTTTAAGGAAGTATCTCCTGAAGATTAAGTCAAGCCCTTTTTAATGTATGTTGGTGATGGGGAGTGCAAGTTTCCAGCGTAGTGGTCCGATTTATAGGTGTAACACTGCTTCGCCGTAGACTGGTAACTTGTTGCCGTCCACCATGGTTGTACTCTTCCCGATGCCGGTCGATTGCTGCCTTGTCGCATACGGTGTGTGACGCTTCGCTGTCTACGAGTGCTTGGAGGCGTCGTCCTTTGCAGATCACCTTGAGCACGAGTGGTAGGCATTGCTTGGAGTACCCAAAGATAGTTTCATTAATAGGATCATAGGGTACATCCCATTATTCCGTACACACCTTTCATTGCTATCGGGAGGACGGGTAGTCGTTGCGGGCTGGTGTCGGGAGAGGACGTTGACTCCGTGGAAAGGTCGGCTTCTTTCCACACTCCTTAATTTTTTTCCCCAAGAATGTTTTCGGTACCAGTACGATCTCCACAATTTTCTGCCTCTTCTGAAGTCCCTCCCAAAATTTCTTCAAGGCTCTAGCCCCTTGAAAATCATAGGTTTTCAATAAAGCATCTTTATAAGCTAACTCTAACGAATCCTTATAATTTTTTGGGTCTTCTAGGAGTTTCCCCGTCTCGGCAGAGTATTTTTTTGCGGAGTAAGATTTTTTCTCGGCGATTTTCTCTGAAGAAGACTGGTCGTGGGGTGGGGATTTTCCCTCATCATTTTCTTCTGCTCGCCTTGAATCGACTTCGTAGAAGTTGATTTTTCCGGAATCGCGCGGTCGCTTTCGGATCCTTTCCTTTTCGCTAGCTAGATCTGCAATCACTGGCGATTCCCGTTGTTTGTCTTCTAATTGCCCGAAGAATTTCCGCCACGGTTGCACGCCCGATACTCTGCACTTTGCGGCTTTTGTTTTATTATACTCGAAGATTCGATGGCCCGGCACACCAAAAAAATCTCACATAAAGTTCGTGTTTTTCGGACGTGGCCACTTGCCGAACCTGTCGATTTCCATCGGGTCAGTGGACGTGGGGTGAGCCGAGCGGTCGCCATGTCGCATACTGCCAACGTGTGCCCGTCGTGTTCCGGCGGTGACCATGTCAAACCGCTCCACTGCCGAAACAACGTCACTATAGCTCGCGTAATATGTTGCTGCTACCTGTCGTTTGACTTCGGTCTTTAGCTCTGCGAGTTACAATTGTACGTTTTCCCCTTCGATCAAGTCGGGAATGCGGTTAAAAAATTCTTCTATCTGCTGCGTGTACTGCGCTACGCTCCCGAACTGTCGATGGCGATGATTTTTTTCCCGGGCAAGGAAACCGAAATTTATCGGCTCGAAACGTTTCAGCAAGTCGGTGCGGAAATGCTGCCACATGGCTTCACCGCGGATGAAGGTACTGTTGCCGCTGATCCACTCGAGTGCCGGCCCTCGCATAAGTGTCGCCGCGAGTCACACAAGCTGGCTGTTCCAAACTGGCAAGCTCCATCCGACGGCTGCGAACTAGATCTCCATGCCAGCGATCCATCTGCGGGTGTCGGAAGTTCGATCGCTCGGATCGAACGGCTTAGGTGGGCGCGGCTTCGGAGCCTCCAGAAATTGCTGCGACTGCTGTGTTGTCGCCGTTGTTGTTTTGTGTTGCGCGCCGGCGAGTCGAGTAACTTGCTCGAACTTGTTTCGCCAAGCTTCGCGGTCGGATCACATCTCCTCCTGTAGGGCGGCGATGTGCGCGGAGAGCTGCTGGGTAACCTCGGCGTTGTCGAAGCTCGCCATCCTGTACAAAACACGCGCGGAGGGGTTAAATAAAAGAAAAAACACGGAGCTGGTGCTTACCAGAATCAGCGCCGAATTAGTCGCCCCCGGAGGATTTTCGAGGCACATTTTCCTGCTGTTGCTGCTTAGCTGAGCGTGGCCGAGTGA